GTGACGCGAGGAAGGATTTTGCCTGGCGGTGTATTGATCGATCTGTGAAAATCCTTCCTGTAAAGCCCAATCATTCCATCTCGGTTCCACATTTCGTGAATTTTACGTTCCATTCACCAAATCCCGTCCGCCTCATATACATATAGACATTTGACGTTCCACTCCCCTTGTATATTTACACATCATTCCTGCCATTTGACTTTGTTTGTTTATCTGCTTCAATTTTTACCGTACTTGTTTTAATCGCGACTTGAGCGCTCATATTTGGCTCGTTCGTGTGCAGTGTGACGGTGAGCGTGCTATTCTTACACAGGCTCATTTTCTTCCATTCAGATTTGTTGAATTACGCTCACAGTAACAATTGGCTCTTGTTTTCAAGTTGTTTTGAGATCACTTTGAGGTTTGTACAGTTTTTTATTTGCTTATTCGATCGTTTAATAATGCAGTACCGTAGAAATTTGCCGGATCGTTCGTTTTGTTGACGCCTTGGGATCCAATTTCGGCTACGCGTCGCTCGTTGATCTATTGTGGAGTTACAGGTCTACAAGCTTATGGCCTACGGGATCGACCATGAGGTTGAAATAACGGAGAAAATCAATGCCAATAATCGACTGCGGAAGGTCAGGGATGATGAAGACCCATGGAAAACTACGGCGAATTCCGAGGTTCAGTTTAACTTGTATCTCACGATTTTTTTGCATAAAGAAAACACACAAAAAAGCCTAAAACAAAACTACGAACTTTTTTTCTTCTCCTTCACTCTTGGTATTTGTGTTCGCTGTTACCGATCAGTTCCAACAAGAGCTGCTTCGAAGTTCTTTTTTTTTGTTCCAGAAACAATTCGGGGAGAAGAGAACACAAATCAACCACATGGGAGAATATAATCAACAGGAAAACTTCAATTGCTCTCCCTCACTCCCCCTACGAATCTATCGATCCAGCATCTTGAGGGTATCGAAGACCTTTTTCTGACAGCCCCGGTCATTTTTTACTGGCTGGTACCCAGCTGCGACGGACCCATTTTCAATACATTCGTTTTTTTCGTTAAAAAACTGGGCAAATAGCGAAACCTCGACAGACATCTATTTGATCCAATACCTGGGCATCAACCGGATTACTAGACATTTGCTTCGCCTACTCGGTTTTCAAAAGTCAATAAGACTGCACCCACACGCATATTTATCGAAGGCTCTTCTTAGCCTTCTAGGGAGGGAGCTCTGTAGTGACAGTGTCAACTCTTTCCGCTCATGTACTTTTTCCTTCTTCCTGGACCTTGTTGTTTTACCGGACCAAGATTACCTCGTTAGTCACGGTACCCTGACTTTCACTTTCTGCACGTTTACTTACCTGTACGCTTCTCTCTCTACTCTCCAGCTCATAACAATACAACAGTCGTTGAGGTTTCGTGATATCAGTCGTTCTACTTTGGTTTGTTACCTCGCCCGCTGTTAGACGAACGAATTCGCGAACATCATCAACCCCGAGACTAGATACCCAGTCTATATCCTGCGCCGCTCTGACCAGTTCTTCTTGGTTGATTCTACCATATTGCCTCCCTAGTTTGGCCGCTGGATCCTTGTGTCTGCTTTCTAACGTTAGCCGCAGAACCACATGATCACTTTTCCCTAAGGGCTACTCCTGGATTATTGTCCTCATGTCTCCAGGGGTTCTGGTGATCATCAGATCCAGTATGGACGGCCTGTCATTTGCTCCGAAATGGGTTGCTTGACGCATGTGTTGTGTTAATGCGTGCTGATATAGCTACTCCATAAGCAGTGCACCCCCGGTACCTGCTGATGCTTTGTCTTTACTCCAGTTGATCTCGGGCATGATGAAGTCACCTACTGACAACTCCCTTCTGGAAGTGACAAGGAATAATTGCAGATGAGCAATCAATTCCTGGTCTTCTGTCTCAGTCGCCTGCGGAGCTCGGTAGACGCACATGATGACCAATGCGTTACTGTCTATTTTAACTACGCAACTGATGGCTTGTATGTTGGAAGTCGCTAGGGCTGCTGCTGCCTCCCACTGCGCATGATCTGATTTTATCATTATCATAACCGCGCCCCCTTGCCTACCATGCACTCTATCTTATCTATAAATCGTGTATTCATCCAACCCCGGGATGATATGGTGCTTCCGCATCTAGGATTCAGTTTAGGTCCCTATGTCTATACCTGGGGTGTGCCGTCGCACCTTCCCCCACTTAGCCCGTATACTGCAAGCATTAGTGTACCGCAGTGAGGCTGTGTCTACTTGCACATGCCTGTTGGGTCGGGAGCTCATTTCTGGAGGATCCTCGATCGTAATACTCGAGGGGTTTCTGCGTTGTTTGGGGTGGGGGGTTACGGATGTGGTCGTGGCTTCTTCTTCTTCCCAATCCATTCCAATTTTCCCCCTGGAAATGACTTTTATCGACATTCCAAAAGCCTCCTCTACCTCAATGGGTACATCCTCCTTCGCTTATGGAGTACTTAGTCTCCTTTATAATGGAAGAGCCGGGGACTGAGCAGATATTAGGGATTTCGCTACTATTTTCGCCCATGTGGCTGGTTTCTCACAGCTCACCGTGGTTTCCTTCTCCGGACTGATAGCTGAAACTAAGTTCTTTGGCTGCGGTGCTCTGTCCTGTGTTCGTGGCGGGTGTGACCTTACCTTGCGGACCACGGCATTGCCCTCTTTAGCCCTCTTTTGTGGGCCCCTTTCCTACATACCGTACGTTCTTTGGTACCTTCGATGTGGATCCGCCCAAAGACTTTCCAGTCCTTGGTACGCAAAGAACTACGTGTTTGGTATGGTGGTCGTTTACTTTATTCCCCTCTCCAACTGGGTGCATCACCCTGATAGGTCTATCGGGGATGACTATTACATGCCACTAAGTACTATCCTTGATCCTTGAGGCTCGTGACAGTAACAGATCTCTTATGTTAGTGTTTGGAAACACCACTAAGAGAAGCCTTTGATCACGTGCGCTTTCCCCTTGCCACAGGCCCATTTTGTGGCACTTGGTATATAGGGTGTTGGGGGCAATTCTGCCAGCTTAAGAATGTTTCGCACAAGGGAATGCTCAGCTTCTCGCCTCGGCTTCGCCATGTTAATGACTGGCTCCGCGCAATTATGCGGGAGCAACTTCCTAGTTCTTCCCAGCGACACTTCGCCGCTCTTTTTTAGCAGCTTAAGTTCTCTTTCTAACTGCTCGATCTGTTGTACCATTTTCCGATAGTTCGGCTGTCCCTCAAGTTTAACCACAGACCTCTTAGCTTGTAAATTCCCTGTTTTGGTTTCCTGCTTTTCTTATTTCTGTACTTTTATTTATGGATGACCCAAAAGTAATCCCATCCAGTTTCTCTTTATTATCCTTATTCAGGGGAGCCAGTGATGCCTTCAGAATTCTCCTGA